GGGTTCCAGGCTTGAATTGAGTACTCGGTGTATGGACGGATAGATGTGGTTAACAGACGTGGAAACGAAGCCGGCTCAAACGATTAAAAAACGCGTTTGAGCAGTGCAACCTGTTTTACCGCCATGGATGATGCCCTAGAACAGTTTGTAGAGCAACTCAAGTCTGCGCGAATGACTACTCCCAGATCCTTCTCGGATGGTGCATGAGGCAGAGTTTCGTGTCCGAGAGTGTAGGAAAAATGACCATTGTGACGTAGTGATACGACTTTACATTTGGTTACGTTGAATTCCGTATCATTGGAGACAGACCATCTGTTGGTTTCGTCAAAGGCGTTCTGGAGATCAAATGAATCTTCTGGTTTTGTTGTTGTCCTCCATATTTTGGCATCATCTGCAAACAGCAGAGTTTGTGGTCCGAGGACGTCTGAAAGATCATTTATAAAGGCAAGGAAAAGACGTGGGCACAGCACAGTTCCCTGTGGAACCCTACGGTTCAGAAAGTGAATCGGAAACACGAACTGACATGGTACGTAGGCGAAGAAACTCCTCGATTCAGCCAAATACGAGTCCACGGATTCCATAGTTATACAGCTTCCGTATCAGTATTTGGTGATTCACCGATTGAGTTCTAAACGTGATAAACATCTCACTTCGCGCTTCAGAAAAAAACAACTCCCATTCTGTTCAAATCAGGCAACAATACGGTAACCGCAAGGAGCATGTCACCTCCGTTAGTCCTATAACATTTGCCAACCTGACTGCTCACTTCGATGAACCGCTAAATATCAACTTATATTATCGGGACTACAAGGAAAACAATCAACACTGTGGTTGACGCGATCGTCAGAAGTCTAAATGTTTTGCGCTGCATATTTTGTGTAATAATTTCGTAGGGAGCGGTAATCGGAGCGTGGGTTGAGAAACCCGTCACTATCACAAATCGATGGGTCAAAAGCAAGACACAAAGAATCTATGATGTGGTTGCAAAATGTGGAAATACTGGATGTTAACAGATGCGCTGCTTCCCTCACCGAGAATACACAATAAATAATCATCACATAAATGTAATAATGAAAATACCGAATCAACACACCTGCTCGTCGCTTCATTTTGCCTCAGTCCAGTATTTTGACTCGCACGGATGTGGTTCGACTGGAGACAGTTGATGCATTATTATACCGGAGTTACAGGTTGGGTTACTCAGTGAGATCACGAGATGGTGTCATGCACAAGACAGTTGGCGACACAGACAAGCATGAGAGATCGTATCCACGCCATTCAATTAAACGTCCAGAAAATGTGGTAAAGATTATGATCATTTCAGCCTAATGCTGACAGACAACTTCAACACCCCCTGAGAGAGAAATATTAGATTCACAGATGTCTGTGTATCTGATGACACGCCTACTGCACAAAGTGGACAAGTCTAAAAAGTGTGTGAGGATCACCATAACTCCTCTCTTAAAAGTGCCGTTAGCTTTACTAGGCTCCTGTGTGCATCTTATCCCAGCGGTTCGGTGCTAATCGAAATGGATTTTAAACTTCGCGATCCCTGGGGGGTGGGGGAACACAGATAGGAGCGTGCCTACTCATACACAATGCGTGTCAAATCACAGACATAAAGTAGAAACTCAGAGAAGAGAAGCGTTTGTCGTAGCGTTTGCTATATTGTCTGTATATGCACACGAAAATGTAATGCCCATTAGTTGGGTACGGATAAATAAGGCAAAGAACAGAACAGATCGGTTAAGAGACAGAGAGGACGGACGGGTCAGAAGAGCATCACAAAGAGAGATGTCGTGGTATGCAAGTGAGGAAAACGATCAAATCACTGTTAAATTGAAGCAGTTAAAAAAAATCGACCGCCTGATCGATCGATTCCAAAAAGCTTTCTCCGAAAAAGAAACGTGCATGTGAAGGAATAGCCAAATGACTGTAATTGGACAACTAACATTGCCACCCATACGTGCGCACGAAAACGTGCATCGGACCGGACAACAGCGAACTGGTGTTAGG